ATACAGACTTTCAGTGATTGGCTCTAGGATCACAAAGATTAGCACTACTCGGAAAGGCACAATCAAGTAGGTGAGTTCAAATCGAGTTAAACTCGACTTGCTTCGAAAATGACCAAATTCGTTTCAACCCGAACCTACCGAGCTAAATCGAGTTGTAATTCCTCGGACTCACGAGTTAGAATCGAGTTAATGTAGTTCACTTCCATACATCGTAATCCCCTCTACAAGTTCTGAAGTTCATCTACAAGCAAGATCGCCTCGGGTTTACAGCAGACCTGGTGGCTAACGAGCAAGACTACACAATATGTGGACCTGTAATCCCAAGAGCAGTTGGTGAGCTGATGGTTACTGGGAATCTTCGAGAGCTCGATCAGTTGCTCGCGAATGCAAGGGAAATTGATTGTAATTAGTTCTGTCTGCTTTTTGTGTAACTACTTGCAAATAATCGTTGTTGGTGGTACAAGCGTCACTGGCTTCTCATTGGCTGGACTATCGGTCCGTATCACTCCCGAACTCGTTACCAATTCGCGAGTCAAGCGAGGCACAATTCTTACAACTCGTAAGTGCCGAGTTGTGTCGAGTTACTGCAATTTCCCACCTCGATTCGGTTCGATTCGCCTCGGCGGCAACACTAAATACAGGGTCTATATAGGTCTATGACCCCTTAGTAGGGATTATCAGGGGTTCTACTGCTGCCGATCAGAATCACTGACGTGACTTTGCTGTCATCTAACATGTACAGCGTGCTCCACATTGTTGTATCCAATAACCTCTATGTAATCAAGAATAGACATTGCTTGCAACAATGGTTTCGCTACTCATGATGTCAGGAGATATGACCGATGCCATGGTGCGAACATGCACAGAATAGGTATGCGCGAGGAGGTCCGAGGGCGGTGAACTTCTTAAGAATGACACTTACCGAGCGGTGATTGAGACATTGAGGTCTTTGCCACTCATGTAATTGATGTGTGCAAGGACTTATGTCTCCTGGGGGACACCCTGTTGGGAGCTGAAGCTTGAAGCTTTGAAGCGATGATTACCTTGTCAATTTCGACCAACCGGCAACTTTCGGCAGCTGAGCTGGTCATACCACGTGATCATATTGTTTTACATGGTGCGGGAAGATTCATAACGTTGCAGATTAATTCTAAGAGAAACCTTCGGACGTGGACGGTGGAAAGTAGTTGGGAAGCTATGGATGTGGATATGCATCTGGCTTTTGAGGTGGGTGAGTCGGTTTCAGGCTTCCAGGTGAATTTGTCAGGAAAAAGTGATAATAGTGCATGTTCAATACTAGTAGACGTGCCACTGGCAAGTGGCATAATGTTCCACAGCGAACGGAGCTCCAGGTATCTTGTTCTTCGAAGCACCACACTTGGATTCATCAGTCAAGACTCTATGTACATCCGTATTATTCTTCTAACCTCCAGCTCATGGCATCCCCGTCGTGTCTACAACTTGAAACAATTTCGCCATCTGTACCTCTATTCTACACTTATTGCACAGTTGATTTAAGCTCGACACGTAAACTCGCCGAATCTGTATTCCTATTGCAGATATCCCTCTTGCCTGTCAAAAAGAAGTCACTGTGGGATTGTAACAGGTGAGCCAGTGCTCAATTTTTGTTGGCTCACTATCTTCATATCTTCATATGTCAAGGGCAACGAAATGAAAGGGAAGATCAAGCGATGCGGAAGATGCAGTAAGGGTCTCAGCAACCGAGGAACTTTGTGTGGTAGGTCAAAATGATCGTTGCCTATTTCAAGTTACAAATATCAGAACAACTTGCACCATTTAGGCACTACTAGTCTTATCCTGTGCAATTCCTCGGAAACTTACCTATCTCGATAATCCATTCTGGTACTGTGCTCTCCTTGATGCGGGCGGGATCCCAGGAGAAGGGCCACCTTCGTAACGAATGCGGATTCTTGAGTTTCTGGGGTTGGTGAGGACGAACACAACATTTTTTGCAAATAGCTGTAATATTAATGATGATATACAACCCATCCAGACACTATGATATATAATTCTATGGAATTCACTAGTTTCCGAACTTCTTCAGATTATCGAGGTGCTTTATGGTCACCAATTTCATTAAGACGAATTGAACTACTGGGATGTGAGTCGCGCTGGAAGCAACTCATTTCGAATTGTGCAGAGCTGAGCTGGTAAAAGCTCACTTACAGCTTGCTTATGAGGCTCCTCACGAGTTCCATTGCTCTGTGACGGATTCTGACCGACAGAACTGACAGCAGTGCCCGACATGTCACAGGTGAACGGCAAATAGACCCGTAACCGCTGAATACTGTCTATAGTCCTGAAAGGCGCCGCCAAAATAGAAACGACTGTCTTCCTTCACCCAAGGTTGGCCTTGGGAAAGACTCTAGCTATGCTACCCGGCTCTGAACGAAGACAAAGCGGTTGGTCTACCTGTCTGATTGGCAAACTTGCCATATGGATCACGAACCATTCAAGTCATGCGTATCAAGAAGCAGCACTGACCCTGGAACGGTGAACTGGACCCTGGATATCTGACAAGTCTTCTTTCTCGTATTGCATTGGTCTGCCTAATAGAAATCGCTTGTGCCGAATAGTGATTGAAAATATCTTCCATGACACAAATCCAAGCGGGACAGACATCCACTGACGGTAAAAATCACTATAAAGACTGACGATCTTGTACCCATAGGTTCCTCATCTCGACGTTCACAATATGGATCCGACAACCCCTATTATGCTTCCCACCGTCGCCCACAACACCGCTCCTGACTCCGAGCCCTCACAATTCATTTTACCTGACCTCATCAATGATTGTCACTATCCCTTGCGAAAGAACCCTCACTGTTATGCGGTGTCCTGCGCATCTGATCAATGGCTTATTGACGTGGCGCGACTCGCAGAACATGAGCTCAGAGGGTATATCGAAATGGACGCGGGCAGATTCGCTGCCTTTCTCTATCCTGATGCAGATGCCTTCCATCTCCAAGTCTGCTGTGACTTCATCAACTGGATATTCATTATAGACGACTGGATGGAGGACGGTGTCGTCGATCCACGGGAAGCACGCGAATCCTGTATTTCTGCGTTATGCGATCCCATCAATTTTGATATGGAACAGCTTGGTGCAAAGATGTGTAAATCGTACGGTTATTTGTTTACATCACATACTGTTTCTTAAAGTCGTTGACTCGTTATGCGGTTAGGTTTTTCAGCCGTTTTAGGGAGACTGCTAGCCTTGGCTGCACAGAGTGGTTTATTCATGGAAGCGAATTGTTCTTCGCAGGTGCAGCTAAGCAGGCGGGCGACCGTGCCAAGGGACAGATGTATGATCTGCAATCTTACATCGCCCTGAGGCGAGAAGTAGTCGGGATAAAGCCCTGCTTTGCCCTCATCGAACTCGTAGCTGGAATTGATCTTCCTGATGAAGTTATGTCGCATCCAGTTGTTAAGGCCTTGGAGGATGCAACCAATGATCATGTTGCTTGCAATGATGTAATCCTGTTTTATCATTGAACACGGGGGCGCCGCTGACGACTGCAGACAGGATATTTTATCATACAACAAGGAGCAATCTCGCGGTGACGAACACTGGGAAAACATAGTCGCTGTGCTCATGCACGATCGCGGACTAGACCTGCAAAGCGCCATGGACCACGCTGGTCAGATGTGCAAAGATGCCATCCAGCGCTTCGAATTCAACTGTACCATCCTCCCTTCGTGGGGAGAAGATGTTGACAGGCAGGTGGCTATCTACATCGAAGGGCTGCAGAACTGGATGATCGGCTCACTTCACTGGCATTTTGTTTCCGCCCGCTATTTTGGCAAGGATAGACATGCTGTCAAGTTGGACCGAATCATCAAGCTGCTCCCCAAAAAGCACTTGTAGAGCCTAACACCTAGTGCATGGCTTCTGGAGGTGAGATCGGCTTTACTTTTTCACGCACTGTGCAATTCTTACGACTAGTTTAGTGGAACGTTAGTACATGATTCACGTCTCATATGGACTTCACAAGTTTTGCTTTGGTTGCATAATACGTGACATCCCGCCTTCCTTGCTTTGTCCTTCTTGATTTCAATACCTCGTCCAGCTTCTTGCGTGTGACACTTTCCGCCCGTCTTTGTATCACCACCATATGTCCATAGAAGAGTCTCGTCTCCTTGTATGAATCAAAGCTGTGCCACAGGCAGGACCGATTTGTGTTATTTAAATTTTCAGATCGACCAGTTGACGATTAACGTTTTCATTGACCATGAAAGACATAAGGTAATGGAGGTTAGAGTTGGAATAAGGTTTAGCCTGCTGTTTAGGAAGACGGGTGACGAGAATTCAGCGTCTAAGACTGGCCCCAACAACCAGCCAAATCTTTGAATCTCTGCAGAAGGGGTCCTATGATATGATGCTCATGATCAACTTAGATTTTCGGTTGCACCTTTGCGAGCCATAAAAGTTCATTCAGAACGTCCCCGCAGGTCGTGAAGCATCGCGCCAGTGATCAGCTGGTGTGCACGCCACCGAGGAGAACAGTCGCTCCCTGGAGGCACTATACAGCACTCTGGCCTCCGACGAAGCAATCGTGATTTCAAAGCTTCCGTCATTCCAATCCACTAACGAAGAGGGCGATATAACTCACTACGAAGATAAAAAGGATGACAATACAAAGACTGATGAAGAAGAATCAACTCGCCAAAGACCGACGAAGGCAACCCAAGTCACTTTGAGGACGAAAAGAAAATGACCCAAAGATTGATGAAGATCAGGGCGATACAAATTACTACGAAAGCGAAAAGGACGACGACAGCAAGACCAACGAACATGAGGCCATCACCAGTGACCATCATGGAGATACAGAGGACGAAGATGAGGGCTATACAAGCCATGAGGACGAAAACGACACCTTGGTGTCTGGAGACGCCGATAATGAATTTGAAGTCGAGCACAATGCAGAGGAGGTGGTGGTCACGGTGGTCATCTCCGTTTGTTCAAACGATTCCGTCAGCTTTCAAGCTCGACCTACACAAGCGCAAATGGACATGATGACAACGTTGCTTGGAAAACTACAGTGTGGGTGAGCTATAGGGACATTTAAATGTACTTTGGTTGTAGGTCAATATGCAGGAATATTACTTACAAGCTCCCATTTCCGAGCTGCATTTCGTCACCCCACTTCCTTATAAAAGTACCTTCGCATTGTCAAATCACCCTGAGACAAAGGATGTCCCCTGTAGATATCGTGCGGCAGGCTACTTGATACTTGGACTTGTGTGTCTGCTTCAATCAGAAGTGTAATGGTGAATTCAAGGTTGTTTGTCATCATGTACCTAGAACTGGATTGGGATGATTGATCTTGATATGAGCACTACGTGTATTGTAGGTCTTGACGTCTATAGCGTTGGACGCCAGCATCGATATGCACGGACGACGTACGAAGGATAACGTTTCGGTGGACAATCGAGTTGGCTTCGAACAAGGTCGTAAAACGAGACAATTTCTCTGAGAATATTCGAGCACTCCATAAAAGAGATGGTATGCGGCTGCGAATGAGTTGGTATCTCAATCAACCTTTGAGCACCAAGTTCGATTATGTGCTGTAGCTAGGTAGAGGACCCGACTGTGCTGTACATTATCGCTTGGCACAACTATGATGAGGGTAGATCAGCGCATTAGGCGCATGGCTTAAATATTAGCTAGATAACTCACCAATGCGCAGCGGATAATTTCATTGAAGAGAGTGCGAACCATTGAACGATAGGTTACGGTTCGAATTGCCGATTTGCCGCGACTTATTTGGAAGTCCGATCGATGTTTTCCCTGAATATGCCCTCGTTATGGTGCAGATTATCTATAAACTTTTAGCAGAGAAACTTGCAGCAGCAGTCCTTATTCTACTACGACTCAAGTACTCATGTGTGAGGATATCCCCTCTCCCTAGAAATCGGCATATTCTACGACTCCACCTTCCTACGAACCCTTCTACAGCATTATCCTCTCTCTGTGTCACACGTTCTGCTGCACTCGACATATTTTTAGACTACCGCCTGCCACTCAGGGACTTCAAAGCTGGTACATTCCTACTAGTCTACTCTATACTGCAATCTATCATCCAATCCATCTCCGACCTCCCCACTTTCCGCACTCTCGAGTTCAAAAGAGTATTTTATTTCGCCTCCGACCTCAAGTTCTTACCTCTCCTCAATCCCGTTTAGGTTCTCCTGTCAAATCTAACAATCGATAAATGCCAGCAACACGTTGTAATGCGCTTGCTCACACTAGCTCGCACCTCTCTTCATTACAAATCGGCAAAATCTTCAAGTATTGGGACTCTCACCTAGAATTACTCGCCTACACCACTATCCAATCGTGGTCCACCGCAGCTAACCCAAGTAGCAAATTTGATCCAGTGGTTCCCGTTCTTAATCCACCCACTCCCTCTAACTCTTACGTCTGCTTAACGTTGGGTATGAGATCCTGGGCTGATGAAGGGTTGGAAGGTGTTGGGAGTGGTACGGTCGGATAGGCTATTGGACTCGCATAATCAAGAAGGAAGGACTGTCTTCCTTCTATATTGACTAGGAGAAACTAACCTATACTCGCTACGGTATTGCGTTTGCCACGAAAGAATATTTTCCCGTTATCCATGATCCGTTCCATGCAAAGTAATGGTCGACCCACACACGGAACATCCAGGCCTTCGCCTTGATTTCCTTCTAAATACAAGTCAAAGCTAGGATTTCTTAGTTCTACCTTGAGCGTTGATGAGTATACATGCCTCATATCGAACACTGCATGTTAGAAAAAATCCGTAAAATTGCATATACAACATACTTGTCAGATATAAACGACCAGTCACGAACATAACATATATGAACTCCACACCAAAATTCGAACGAAAACATTGACAAGAGGATGTCGATAACAAGATGGACGTGGATGTGTGGCTTAAGGGCAGCGTTAGCGAACGCGGGTTTATGCGTAAATGACGACTGGTTGTGGCGACAGATGTGCAAATGACGATCGTGTTGTGCATATATGCAAGTGGGTGTATGGGTATAAGGATGTCGGTAAATGGATCTGCATGTATAAAAGTGCATATGGGCGGGGTTTGCCACCATGTGGAAAGACGTACAACGAGGTGGCACTGTACAACGAGGTACAAAGCCCGTGTAGGAATAATCAATCAATCCGATACAGGTTGAGATGAGACAGGCCTAACGCGCCCGGTCCTGCGACGGCTAGTCATCCGCACGTGTACGGCGTACGAGCTCGAAGCTTCTGACAAGCTTCAAACGAGCACGCAGGCTCGCTGGTATAACCAAAGATCCTATAATCCTGATACGGATCAGGAGAAATTTA